TCTTCTTCGATATTTAGCAAAATTTGCCCGATGTTTTATTTTACTACTCTTGATTATCAAAAGACATGCAACACACTAGCTATTAGTAGATATAAGGTATTTGAAATAGTTATGAAGTTTCTATGGTAAATATAGGCATTTTTAATTTCAATGCAAATCATCAGCAAACATTTAGTGCATAAGCAAGACCAGACTTTTAAGTTTGTTGCAATGAAAAGATAAATTTGATATCAAATCTGATTATAGGACGTACAATTGTCTTACTCTAGTGAGTGAGAATCTCGATAAAATTAAATAGTCGTATTCTGCATATGGTAATAAATTTTATGTGATCTCTTTGTCATTAGATATGTTATGCTGGGATTGTCTTCAATCTACAACTAATTTTGACAGGGGAACGAGTGTATGGTCCTATTTTGTCATTATTTTAAGGACATTTTTCTAAACCATGTAAAATGTCATTCTGTACAAGTTTTTAACAATTTACTTTTTTATTTTTCTTTCAAGCAAAAAATATTGAATAATTCTTGGTGTACTAGGGGTGTCCACTCTCTCACATGAAATGGGACCCGTAAAATGATGTAAAAGTTTTTAACAGTTTACTTTTTTATTTTTCTTTCAAGCAAAAAATATTGAATAATTCTTGGTGTACTAGGGGTGTCCACTCTCTCACATGGAATGAGACCCGTAAAATGTATGTACAAGTTTTAAACAGTTTACTTTTTTTTTTAATTTCTCTTTCAAGCAAAAAATATTGAATAATTCTTGATGTACATAATTTTTGGTACATAGGGGTGTTCACTCCCTCACATGAGGTGGGACCCACTTTTTGGTAACAAAAATTATACACATGTAGCATGTCCCAAAAATATTACTTTTTTTAAAACTCACTTATTTGTGACTAATGGAACTTTTTAAGCATAGCCATACATGCATATTATGATATTGATGATGAAGAACTAGTTGGAGCCAATTTGACTTATTGCTGCAATAATTCACATTACAACCATTTTGAGATAGTAATGGATTATTCGCTTTTCTATCTTCTTGCGTATACTTGATTTGATAATATCTTAATTCATGACAACAAATTTCCATGCCTTACACTAGAGCCGGTTCAAACACTTGGAGGTCTTGAGCAAAATAGCTGATATGGTCTTTTAGGGAATCATAATAAAATAAAAATTCATGGAGCAAATGTAACGAAATTTTCATCGGTTATCGCCGACCAAATATTATAATGAAAATCAATATTTATCCATGATTCAAATGGAATTACTGATATCAATAATGTCGATGATAACCAATGCATCTCCTCAACAATTATCAAGGACAATATTTTCGGTA